ATAAAAAGTACATTAGTTGTCCCATAAACAGCACGGAATTAGAATAAATATAAATATTTAAGATAAAAAAGAATAATTATTTATTAGTTTAATAAATTCCTCAATATATGCATACATACCTCATACATATCCTAATTATAATCGAAATTCATAAACATACTGTAAAAACTTGATAAAATAAATGTAAACTTTTATTAAATAAATAAATATTTTTCACTTTATTTTAGAAATAAATGTTATTTTTATTAGGATTTTAGAAAAGTTATTTTGCGAGTATTGAAAACTTTGATGTGTTAATGAAATGCTAACTGGATTTTAAAATTTTTATGATTTTGATAAGTTTTTGAAACGTTATTTACAGTAAAGTTGAAAATTACAAATTTGATGTGCTTAATTTTTGGTATTTTATCCATTTTGGGACACTAAGCTGTTAGTGATGACCTCTGAAACGCTACTGATGGGCTAAAATTGTCCTACTCGAAAGAAAACAATAGAATTGACAATGTAGATGTGCTACTGATGCGTTAAATTTCGACTCAGGACAAGTCCACATTATTAGGCATCGCAGATGACGGATCCGCTAAAGCGAGGTTATCATATTTCGCGGCTATGTCATCATCAATACCTTCACTGGGCATCTGGACGGTAATAGTAGGAAACATCCATGCGTTGAATGTAAAAATAGGCTCTGTCGCGTATCTTGGTCGTATATCACACTTTACTAACCCTTGAACATTTGGTACCGATGTCCCCGACAAACCAGAAACCGGTGCCGACCATCGTGTGACCCGAAGTCCTAATCGCGTAACACAGGCCGAAGTTATTGCATTAATTTGTGACGCCGTGTCCACAAGTGACCGTACCGTGTGTAAAACGCCGACACAGTGGCGTATGTGTATGTGTTCCTAATAATAGTGAATGACCAACAGTCGGGCTGTGTCCAGTGAGTGACGCTGGAACAACGGTTTCATCTTGCAACGGTTGGCTATTGGTTGTAACGTTGGACATCGGCATAATACGGACGTCAGCATCTGTGTGTAATAGTGGGTGATTTTGTTGAGTACAGTTGTCACACGCTATCGGTGCCCGACAATCGGGTGCCCAATGACCGACACGGAGACAACGAAAGCACGCTTTATTTTCACGTACCCATTTAACACGTGTGGCGGCGGCCCATGTTTTGAACGTTTTACAACTGGATACTGCATGCCCGCCGTTACAAATTTTACACACACTGCTCGACTTATTGTCAGTGGATACTAACGACAATGACATTGGCTGTCTCCTACTCTCGGATCCTGTCTGCAACGTGTTTTGAAGTCTCGGTAGTTGCCTTTGAGTCCTTGGAGTAGACTCCTGTGGCACGCACTCAAGCACGTTTAAACGTTGTTTCACGAAATTAAATAATTCCAGTACAGTCGGAAAGCGATTTAACAGCTGAGCTTCGAATAATTTAACCGTATGCGTCGGTAAACACCGTGACGCCATCGTAAATAAAATAAAATCTCAAAGATCTGGTAGTTTCATCGTATTCAGTAACGATACCCATTCATCAAAAATCACTAGAAATTTATGTAGATCATCGGTAAAAGACTCGTTAGACGATTTCGGCGCTGTTCATAATTTTTCTATTAATGACGCTGCGACTAAACGCGGCTTATCGAAACGCGCCTTCAACGTAGCCCACGCAAGTTTATAGTTGAAACTTATTGCTTCTGACGCACTACCCTTTAAACACCCGGCTAAATAATAAAACTTTTCTTCATCCGTAATATTAGGGCGCTGATCCACAGTAGTGATAAAACGATCATAGAATGACATCCATTTAAAAATATCTCCATGAAAGGTAGGCAATGGTATGTCAGGTAATCGGGTAANATAGGCAATGGTATGTCGGGTAATCGGGTAAACGTTGCGCTGGCCGAACTTTGTGTAAGTGAATTATTATTACTCGACGGCTGTTCAGGTCTCCCTATCGCAAACGTCTCCGGAACGACTACGTGCGCATTTTGATTATGATGTTCTACAGGCCGATCATCACTGTGTTCATGTTGTCATGTCCTCGTTCATGTAGCGACATACGAGATTCTCGATGGACCGAAATTAAACTTTGTGTATCATCATTTATTATGAAAATTATTATTATTTTCATTATAATTGTTTTTTTGACGTTTATAATCATTTTGATTTTCCCAATTTTGCTTGAAAGTATATCTGTTTTGTGTGTTAATTGGATGGCGGTTTTGATTAGATGAAAAATTATTATTGTTAAAACGCGCTTGATAATTTTGATTATTAGGATTATTTTTGAAAGGAAAAGCATTATTATGAAACTGATTGTTATTATTTTGTGGACTACAATTATCTCTAAAATTATTTTGAAATTTGTTTGGTTGAAAATTGTTGTTAAATCTATTATTCTTTTGTGATATATTATTCATTGCTGACAAATTATTAAATCGAGAATTGTTTTTTATTATATTATCGAATATTATTATGAATATTTCTTTTTAACTCTTCTAAATTGCAATTATCAAGAATACTAATATATCTGGCAATACTTGGTTTAAGACCTTTCATTACATTTCTTACTAATTCACTCTCCAACATATTACTATCAATTCTCTTACATAAAGTTTCCATGACATTAATATAAGCAACTATTTGTTCATCATCTAACTGTTTTTTTTTTTCTAACAAAATACGTAACATATCATATTGAACAATAGGTTCAAATTCTTCTCTAAATTTTTTTCTAAATCATTCCAGGGTAATTTCTTTGATTCAATATTATCATAAAAGGTAAGAACTGCACCTTGTAAAAATGCAACTAAATATTGCGGTTTATCAACATCTAACCAATTATTAATTAGCGCTGCTCTATTAAATGTTTTTAAGAATGAGTCTTCGCGTTCGTTTATACCTCCCGAAAAGGTAGTTGGTTTGAAAAATAAATTTTTATTCATGTTATAATTATTAATTACTTTAGATGAAACTTGATCAGTATTGTTTTTATTGTTTAAGTTTTTTGAAAAAAAACGCCAAAATAATCTTATTTTCAAGTCTTATACTGTCCCAGCAGTTACTAATTTCCTATTTTCAAGTTCTTTAATTAACTCTGATTTTTTTATCGAATTTATCCACTCTAAAGTTTTTTTATATTATTCTGGGACTTCTTCTATTACAATTTTTTTCTATTTCCTCTGACATTGGGTCAATTTTGAAATGAAAATTTTATCTATATTCACTTTTTGTTTTTCTTTAAACTCAGGTATTTTCCTCTGACTTCAATTCACTATATAATTCAAATATGTATTTTTTACTCAATTCACTTTTTTTTTTATGTAGAAACTTTTCAGTATATATATTTAAGCTATAAATGATACTGTTGAAAGGGCTATTAGGTTGATGCAAGATTTTCATCTGTTTGATAACAGTTGAAGAGGAGCAAAAACAATTTTTGTTGCGTTGTGAGCAAGAACATAGAAAATTATACCCAAATTCGAATAAAGAAACTCTCAAAAGAAAATATCCCCAATAATAATTTTTAGTATAAGTATAAGCATTGTAATTCTAATTTCTTTAAAATTAAAATAAACATGATAAAATTATCATTTCCAGTTGGTATTTTTTAAATTTGTTGTGTATTAACATAAACAGAATTTGACTACAAAAAATTTAATCAATAATGCTCATATATTTTATAAAAATAATTATTCAATTATGTTAAAACAATAAAACGATCGCCCCAATGAAAATTGTACTCATTACTTTTTTTTTAGAAAATTAAAATTTGAACAATTTTTTTATGAAATATTACTCCTTATTATAAACGGCTCGTCAGATATGATGCAATATTCTTAAATATACCAATTTCGACAGTTTCGCAAAATAATACTTATTTTTCAATTCTCTAGAAAATTAGTGGGTTTAGAAAAAAAATTATAGAAACTTAAGTTATACTAAACATTTATATCTACAATTTATTTCCTTAACATTTTATTTCGAGAGCACTAATTTACAAGTCAATGGCAAATAACTGGAAAACTACCCCTTTTAGCTAGTTTTCAACCCCAAGTCGGCACGGGTTAAACTTGTTTTATCGACCTGAAATTTTTTTGTGTTCTTTTTTATATGTTTACAAATAAATTTGTGGGGTGTGCACTAAGCATTTCCGAAACTTCAAAATTCTGGGACACCCTACTAGTTACATTTGGTTAAGAGCAGGTTCGATTATTGAGCCAGTAATCAACACAGTTGGTTGGTATCACAATCTCTCTTTACAACGTTGGACAAACGTCCGTTAAAAAATTATATATTTATAGAAATAAATAGTTAAATATTAAGTACAAAAATTGTATATACATACATTATTGATAACGTAATGTAATTGTTGTTATTGAACGGACCACGAAAGTGTGTTCAATATACGTATTGCTAAAAACGGAATGAACGATATTTTGTTTTGTGATCCGGATCGACTCGTTCTCTGATACAATCCGTTCATTTGTAAAAGACCCGTCACTAATATTTATCTTGTTGTTATCTTTCAGATATCTTTAATTTTACACATCTAATACTCGTTTATATATAGTAATATCGATGTAAAGAATAGGAGTATCTCGTCTTCCTGGAGTTATTCAACCAAAATTATAATAGTTGGGAAATATTATGTTAAAAAGACAATCATTTTATCAAAAAAACCAGGTTGTCTCAATTTAATAGTATAACAAGATTTTGAAATTTTATATTGAAATAATTTTCATTATTATGAAATTCCACATTGTGTGTGTTGGTTGTTTTTTAAAGTTTTAATAAAATGACCTCAAAAACATTTACTTTGTAAATAGCATAGTTCATGAATTTTTTTCCTTATTTTTAAATTACTTACAATGAAATGGTAAATTCTTAATTTTTTAAATATTATTAACAGAGAATTAGTTAGGATGTTCTACAGATTAAATATTAGCTATTAACACGTCAATGTTTAACAAAATGTCTTACTATTTTAAACAATTTTATTTTTTAACAAAATATATATATATATATATATATGAACCAAAATAATTTCAACACATAATTTAAAATTAGTTAAAAACAACAGTAATTTAAATTTTAACTTAAATCAATTGAGTTTCCATGCTCTATTCTTCTTAACAAAATTTCTGATACTTCATTAGGCATTAATTTTACTGGTTGGAAATATGGTTCAAAGCATAATACTTTACAAGCTTCTAATAATCTACAAATATATACAATTAATTACATATATTTAATATATCAATAAGTAAAACTTAATATTTAAATTTTAAATATTGCAATTACAGTTTTTCTAATTTAAATTTATTTAAAGAAGTGTATTATTTACCGTTCAACATAAATAGTGGGTTTTGTTGTGTATCTTGATATAATTGGTAGCATTTTATATTGTACATCACATTGTAAATGCTGTGCTCCTCCCTTATTGAACATATTTGCCATGAGGATATCATTAAAGATATACTATAATATAAGTGTAATTAATAGTTGAGAGATTAAATAGTTGAATATAAAGAAACTTATGCAATATAAAACTAACATCTGATAATTTAATTGCCAATTTAGGCCAGGATTTATTGAATAATGAGTGTGGAAGATTCTTTGAGAGCAAATCAAGATTTTCTGCAAATGTTTCATACATTACCCAACCACTATCAGTTATAGTGTACTTAATGTTTTCATTTATTGGACTCATTACATGCCATCTATTAATACAAAAAAACCAAATAAAATAATTTAAAATTAATAAAATTCTTTACTCTAATTCTAAAATAATAAAATAATGTTAAAATATAACATAAATAAAGAAATTCAAGTTTTTATATTACACTTTCCATTAATAATTTTCTAAAAATACTTTTACTTTATAGCTATAAAAATAAATTAGTATGTTTCAATGTTTTATAAATAAGTCTTACCTATCTCGTTTGTAATTTTTAGCACTTCTTTTAATTTTCATCATTACATAATTACATAAATCCTGCACTAAATTATCCATCTCTACATTGTATGAATGAATAATATCATCAAAAACTGTTTCAGCATTTTCTACAATTTCATAAGGTTCACTTTCGCTCCTACTTCTTACTTCATTTTCCAACTCACATTTATAATTAAACAATGATAGAAAGTGCTGGAAAAATGAACACAAATAGAGTATATATAATTTATGTTTTTTATCTACTTCTTCTTTTTTCTCGCCTTAATCCCAACTACTAGGTGTCGGTCACTCTTATCCTAAACTATAACTGTTCTTACAGCTTCTGATTCCTCTATCCTCTAAGTCTATTTTCTCTCATCTTATCCACGATTGACACTACATTTATACTCCTCCTTATATGTTTGTCTTTATCCTATCTTCTTTAGTCACTCTACTCATCTATATAAGCATTCTCATCACTGCTAAACTTATTTTCTGCTCTACGTTCTTTTCAAACAATCCGAATAGTTTTTGAATGACTATTGAAAAGTTCTAATAGTGGACAACTATCGAATAGTTTGATAGTTACTATTTGATATTTTCCATCACTATTATTTTTGCTTATACATATAATTATTGTTTTTAAAATATTATTTAAACATTTGTAATACAATTCTTCCATTTTTAGTTAACTTAAAAACACAGCAAATATACAGCATACAAATACTATTAAGTCCAAAAATAACTTAATAAAATTTAACAATGCAGATACAATATACTCGATATTGTATACTTTAAATAGATACTGTCGTAAAAATGTATGTAGGAAAAATTAAAAAATTATTAATATTATCCATTATTGGCATTGTATTACAATGCCACCACATATTACAATTTTACCACATAGACCTTACATATATAGAGTCATTCATTAAGGATAAAATAATTATTTTCAAAGAAACAATAGAATATTTTAAATTTTTATAAAGAAAAATAATGTTTGATTAAAAAAATTCTACAATTATGTGTAGTTAAATAATTTTTTTTTCATCCCTTCAGTGTTGAAAAATATTAACATAACTTGTCTTAAATGAGAACCCCTATTTTTATTTTGTAAATTTGATAGAAAATAGATGCACAAACAATTTTATTCTTATAATTTTTTTATCAATTGTTTCCGGAAAAATGAATGTCTTATCTTTAATAAATCACTTTACAAATAAAGTTAATTTCAGTATAAGATAATATATATACCATATTAGTGCCCCAATTATTTAGAACATATGCAATATAATGTAAAGTACATAATATTTGTTGTAATTCTTCTATTATATTTTGACTTTCATTGACTTTATAAACATCAACTATTTTTTCTTTGAAATCATTTAAGAGATCTGTTTGAAGTTTTAAAAATTGGAGTCTACAATCAAGATAAAATAAAATATTATACAGTAATATAGTAATTTAGAAATTAAATAATAAATTAGAGATCTTTATGAATGTTAACTCATTAAAATATTAGAAATTGGGTTTGTTTTTCACTGAGTTTTCCATTTTTAAAAAAAATTTATATGTTGAGTTTCTATATATTACTTACTTATGTCGAGGTTGTCGAAGTATACTATATCTATCAGTCATAGTATTTAGTAATGTTAAAATGTTATCAGAGCATCTTGTTATTTTATACAAATTATCATTCACTATAATTTTCCATACATCACTATTAGTTAAAATTGTGTCCATTTTAATTAATGCATCTAAAAAAAAAAATGTACTTAATGATTGGTTTAAACAAAATTTTTTACAAAATATTAAGATTAGCTTGATAAATTGTCAGTCTACCTAGCTCAGTTAGTAACATCATGTCCTGAGTGCTTAGGTACAGAATTTCGATTCTATCACACTGGGCTTTTTAAATTTTCCCATCCTTCTAGCACATGCATTAGCTCTTAGAGAAAACGTTACACATGATTATATATATATTAAATATATATATATTTTACGAAATTGTTAATTGAAAAAAGGAAATACGTAGATTTTTATGAAATGAATGTATAAAATTATCATGGTATATTGAAAAAAAGAAATTAAATAATATCATAACTTTTCTTTCTTTACACTAATTTAAAACTCACTAATTAAAAAAATGTAATGTTTAATATAATTTAATTTAATTAATTTTAAAGGAAAAAGCTGCATTTCAAAGTGTTTAATTTCATAATAAGAATATATCACTAATATTATTGATAACTAAATAATATCTAAACAACTCAATAAGCCACAAAAAATTTAAAAAATTGTGTATATATTGTTCCCAAAATATGTAAACAGCTTTTTGAGTTAAGTATTTTAATATTTATTAGTTTTAAACAGTATTTTAGTTACTAATGTATTTTAGAAAAAAATCCATAATCAATTAAAAAATATTACTTAGCCATTATTAAATCAAAATTATTTTAGTAAATTACAGTTGTCATCTAATTATTTAAAATAGCAACAGGTAATTCTAGCTTCGATGTGAAGTAAAGAAGGTATTTTAATTAAATATCGATTAAAAATTATTACTAGCAAGCAATAAAAGAAAAAATTTGATTATTCTTATTTCTTTTTTTTAATTTTTAAATTAAATTTTTATGTATTATATCAATAAACCATTACAAATTAAATTGAAATTACATTTTCTTTCCATATTAATCCACTTAAAAAATATATGAGCTTGAGTTAGTACTTCAGTCACACTTGGGTAATCATCTGGATAGTTATATACTTTTCTTAATTCATGTTCAAAAGCTAAAGTTTCATCTACAATATGAGAAAATACAATATCTTCTAATTGAAAATGTGATAAATCTGTATCAAGTTTTATAACAACAGGTTGTAACAATCCAACAATAAATTCATGCTAAAATTCATTTAATTTTTAAAATACAATAATAAATTGTTAAGAATCACTAATTTTTTTTTTAAACTTGCTTGAACTTCAATGGTTTTTTTATTGTTTTCTAAGTATACTGGCCCTAACCAATCAATAAGGAATGATCTATAATCTCTTATCCAACTCAAAACTCTGGACAAAAACCATTCTGGTTTATCTGGTTTATTAGTTTGTTTTTTTCCAGTAAAATGAAAAAAAAATCTTTTCTGGAAAGGTACTACTAATAATGATACAGGTAAGCTTACTCTACTAAAGTGTTCCATTAATTGTATAACATTTTTTTCATTGCGATCTTTGTATTCATTACCTCTAATATTTAAAGTTAAGAAACATAAATATTTTAATGAATAAATTGAAATTAAAGTTAAAAAATATTTTATTTATATATGACAAGCACTATCACTTATTTAGTAAATGTAACATTTTCTATTAGAAAAATCACACAGTTTTTAAAAGTAAAAATTTTCTTTCATTGTTAATTGCAATATTTATAATGTTACAAAAAAATCTGTATTAGTATAATTATTTACAAGTTTTACATTTTTTTTTTTTTTTTTTTAAAAAGGATACGGTAGTTGAACTTTTATTAAGATGCTAGCTAAACGTTGAAGATTATGTTTAGTAGTGTCTAGAGATTTATTAATAGTAAATGGCCAATTAATTTGTTTTAATATTAAATCAAAATCTCTAGAAAGAATATTTTATCATGAAATATATATTACTAATAGATATTTAAATTTTTTACTCTGAATAAAATTGTTTTATAATACAATTCCAATATGTTGACATTTTATTAATATAAGAGACTAAATTTTTACATGGTAAATTGACCATACAACTGTTAATTTCACTTAAACATACATATGATTTGATGACATTGTCATCTTGCTTATTTGAGAGACCTGATCTTATTTGATTACTACACATAAAATGGAAAAACATACAATTAAAATATAGTAAATTCTTTATATAAATAAATTAGTTTACCTGATAGACTTAATACACTTAAGACAAATTAAATATAAGACTTTATTAGATTTTTCATTCATATCAGATATAAGAGTTTGAAATACATTTCTTATACTTTCAGTTTCTTGTTTAAACTTTGAATACTTTAACTTCAATTGATCTACATCTTTTATTATAGAAATAATTTCTTGTCTAGAATTTTGAACCTTATTTAGAGTTTTAATCAAAGTAGCTTGATCTCCAACCACTTCAGACATAATCTTAAAATACATTTATTTATATACTTGAAAGTAAATAAAAGTGATGTGGTATTTAATATTCACCTTATTTTTGATTTCATTATTATTTTTTAGAAGAATATTTCGATAGTTATTACAATTAATAATTATTGAATCAAAATCATCTCCTAATTTTTCATTAATGATTTTTAGAGACGAAAAATTTAAAGACATCTTTGAACTAAAAAGGAATATCAATAATCTTAGAAATAAATATTATTTTTTATTTCTTGCGGTTACGGTATAATATAACAAAATTGTATAACTCAGAAACACTGCCAAATGAACAAATAAAAACTCTTATCATCATCAAAATACTGGTAAAATCAAATACCGTACAAATAAAATAATAACTGATAATTCACTGATAAGACAAATCTTAACAAACATGACTTCAACCGTTCGACTCGGGTATTTATTTTTTCAATCGTCTGGGACATATGTTACCTACAAATTTTTTTCTAACAATATTAAATTGACTTTTGGGTATTTCAAATAAACCGAAACAACATTTTTAATAAAATGTCGCTTACACCAATTAGCTATGTAATATATCGACTATTTGTTTATACTTCTGTGATTATCACTGACTAATAAAAATAGAAGGCTATACAAATCAGGAAAATACTTATTAGGAATGAAATTAAACGGTATAGTTTGTAGTAGAACAATATCACATAGAAATAATATTAAAAGAACGTTATTTAAAATTATAAATTAAAAATTACTAAGGTAATTTTAAGTACTCTATCATTTACTAAATATTTTTTTATATTAAATTTAAATAATATTTGAGATACCTTTAGTAACTTAAAACAAATAGGTATTATCTAGCTGAAAATTTATTTCAAATAACGTTTTACATAACAAACATGATTTCCAGAATGCGAAAAAATAGAAGAATTTTCATATAATGATATTTATTAAACGCATAATTTAGAATTGAGGTCGTAATGAGCCAATTAAATTGGAATAACAAAAGAAAATAAGTATGGTGAAGTAAACTAAATATGCACATATATTAACAAATAAATGACTTAATCAATTATTTTGTGAAAAAAAATAAATAAATGAAATGTAAAAAAAATATATAAAAG